TTTTCCTGTCTGATTCTCTGGTTTACCTCATATTACAATTTCATTATAAAAAATGATCAATTTACGAAATTGATCAGGCAATTTGCCCTTAATTTACTTTTGTAAATGAATTCGCTTTCAATTTGATGCGATAGCCGCCATCGAGTCATATGGCTAATGTTTTCGTGTCATTTTATTTTGTCTGTGATATTAGGGATAGATATCAACATAAGATAATGCTGAATGAAATGATATAAATTCATTCAGTGTTAATAATAAACAAATTAACGCTGAGACTGCAATTAGTATAAGTCAAAATTCATATTATTAAACAGAGACTTAGCAAAGGTTAATATAGGTTCAACGGGAGGTAGGTAGTTAGTAGGTTTACTTATTCTCTGTATAATATGAATTTAGACTAATACTAAAAAAGCAGTTTTAGTGTAAATTTATTATGACGCTAAACTCTGTTTATTAATAGCACTGATTATCATTAATAATGATATGTTATTGTAATGAGTTGTAATTCCAACTTTACCATTATTCTTAGATCTAGGTACACTTTTAGCAGGCCTACTGCGGAATATTCAATTTCCGTAGCAACTTTTTCCTTTATTTAACTGTCATCGTTTAGGGTTTAAAAATGCTGAGCTAATTAGTCAATTTTGGATAGCATAATCTGATGAAGGTATAGGTAGTTCTGACATGGGTGGACTGGGTGTAAGTAAAATTCGATCAAGTGAGAGTCTGACTCGCGGACGAAGGATTTTGTACTGAAAACAAACACAAAAATCACGCTTGTTGTATGGGAGCCACCTTAAATATTTATTCGGTTTTATTTTTTTGGGCGAACCTTGCCCAATTCAGTTGCTCTAACCAATTGAGCTACCCGAGACCTTTTTCTTTATAACGCACGGGGAATACCCTATGCCTTAAACCAGGGTTCTCCAACCACCCTGTCCTGAAAGGTTAGGTTAATATGGAAGGCCTGGTAGAACCCGCTGCGGTTCACCTCACGCGGATAGGAAGAACCCGGTATCCTGCAAGGAGGGCTAGGAGGGCGGAGAAGCGTCGCCCTCTGCGGGAAGGAAAAGCGGATAACAGTCTTCCCAGATGGTGGACCGTCTTCGCAGGCTAATTCCACGGAGTTACCCGAGACGTAGAAGGTATTGTATTAACGTTTAGTAATATTTTAATGCATATTTCATTTTTAATTTTCGACTAAGATGAAAATTTTTTCTTAATATTATATTTGATTATTTTGACTATTTAACAAAATCTATCAAAAATGCTTTATTGATAGGTTTTCAAAAATTCACTGGTATCGCCTGAATTCGAAACTATACTTCGTATTCCATCTCAGGCAACTGGGATTGGTGAATTTCTCTATATGATAAATAGCACTGTGAGTGCAAAACCGATCTAATAATTAGTATACTTTGGAATTGTGATCGTTGATCGTTTATTACCTATCTAGCTATGTATATTGTCGTTTAAACAATATGGCAGGGAATCATTGTTGATTCAACGGTGTAGGGCTGGCACGCAAAGCCGCAACCCTCAAATTAGCTAATTGAATCGCGTGGCTTGTCTTCTTAGGACTGCGCCTGCCCTGTGGGACTCATAGCCATCCTGGTTTAACTTGTCTTGTTAATTTCGCGAGGAAACGTTTAGTAGCACGCGATATCCTGGATTGGTAGGTACTGATTTGTCGCTTATTATGTAATTATGTAATTAATGATGGTAGATTTCTTTATTCATTTAATTTGGATGTACACCTTACTGTATTTTCTCCTATTGTGTACAAATGGTTTTATAATTATTGAAGTAAAATTTTATGTATCTACAAAACGCAAAAATAACAATGTAAATATTTAAATATTGATTAAAGAATTCAATTCCAATTTTTAGCTTAGTGCATGACATATAATACAATTACTAAGAGTGCAAGGTTAACTCAAAAAAGGTTGTGGTGTATGAATTCATGATTCGGGCGACTTCAGTAGATTATATAAATGTGACGTCACAACTGCATTAGGGTTGTGGGCGTACCCCTCGTGCCCATACTGTGGATGCGCCCTTGAATATGAGTTGTTTTGTATCCGGCACAAGTTCAAACTTTGTCTTTCTGGTTAAAAACTGGACATCTGCACCCTTTTACCTACACACTTGTTAATATTCAGTAGTCGTGTAAAGGGGTAATCGCAAATGGGTAAGTTTGATAATCGGTATATATAAAACACGATGTTTAGGTACGTAGGCATTTGATTAGAAGTAAGATATTTAATTCAACAGTGTCATATAAAGGAGAGAAGTGCAAGAAAAGCAAGTAAGACGCAGCTCTAAGCGCGGCCTGTAGCCGCCATAAATCAGTCGTTTCGAATTTACGAGGGCCCTCCGCAAATCGGTTTATATTTTCGATAAATAAAATTGGCGCGGGTTTTGCGAGGTAAGCAGAGGCCGTTAGGAGAGCATCGTGCCACCAGCTGCTGCGAGCACATAAACCCGACTACCCTCGCGTTTTCTTGCTGACAATTTTTTCCTGCTCCGGTCATTACGCAGCTGGGCCCGAGACAAAACGGCGAATCGTTTAAGCCCTCCGGAGACCGTCCAATTTTATTGTGTGTACCTAGTCGAAATTGATATGCCGCGCGAGTGGCGACCGAATGCCGCCTCTATGTGACGGACGCTTCGGCCTGCCATTTGCTGCCTCGCGGGTTTGGGTAGTAAACTTAGCTGTACTAAAGTTATGTGTTGCCTTATTTTTATACGATATCGCTTAATATACCCATCATAAATATGTATTATATGGATGCCTTTAAATCACAGATATGTCAATTTTAATGATTGTATTACTCAGTATCTATGAGATTACGTTTAACTTTATGTGTGGTCTCTGATGACGATTGCCAATTAGGGAGCTTCCCGAGTATATTTCAGTGGTACTAAAGGGATTGTTTTTAGATTTACAATGTTTTGCCGCAATTTTAGATATGTATTCATAGTTTTATATTGATAATGATAATAATTTATTTGCTTTTAAATTGGGTACAATGTATATTGAATTACAATTTGATTTAGCAATCAGCAACAGCATGCAAATATTGATGAAATTACAAAGTCATATATCCAATGGCAAAATTATTAAATTAGAAGTATCATTGTAACTATATAATTCTAAAACATTACACAATTCACAGCACATGCATTCATTACTTATTTTTATGATTTAAATATACAATGACACTATAAAAAGCATTATCATACAACCATCTAAATAGAGCTTTTTAGAAGCTATTCAATGGAAGAGTCTTAATGTTAAGAGGGATATTATTAAAAAGCACAACACACAACCAATAACAGTTAATCTGGAATCGCGCTCTCCTTGGAATATCAGAAACCAATCTATCACAATTTTTGGTATAGTGTATATATACATTATTTGCCAGTTTAAAGTGACACATAATTCGTTTTGCGAATTTAGCGACTTCAAAAATGTATAAACAAGGTAAAGTTAATATTTTTAAAGTTTTAAAGAGAGGTTTCCAAGGTTCATCAGGTACAGCACCACATATCGCCCTAATACTTGTTTTTAACAACAAAAGCTTTTTTTAATTTCTCTACTGTTAGCCCATATGAGAAGCCCGTATCTAAGAACGGATTCTACGTAAGCGAAGTTCGCAGTAAGAGCCGTACCCCTAGTAGTTATCTTTGATAATTTATGAAGAGCAAATAAAAATCGGTTGATTTTATTGCAAACTTTTTCTACCTCTCCAAACCCATTATTGATATCTACCTAGCTTAGACAACAGTTAACCATTGATTGTTTACGACGACTTTCTTGATTCTAAGTTCGATTCCAGGTCGGGTTAATATAGAAGTTAAGTTTCATCTAGGCCAAGGTCTGACGGAGCTTTAATAAAAATGGGATACTTAAATAAATATATATTTCATGCTTTTTGCTTTTCAATGATAGATTTCGACAGTGGACCTGCGGTAATCCAGAGCTTCTTTGGTGTCCCCTGTAAGCTGACTTTCTTATTATCGGTGTTGATTGTCTGTAATAATTTCAACCAATCTTCACTCTTCCCCTAAAATTTAAGTAGACGTGAATTTATTAAAGATAATTATTTGATTAATTAAGAATTAGAAGAATTACGGATGATATAATTTTTATAACGAAACAAGCTGTTTCTCCGAAACTGCGAATGCTTAAATTACAGCCTATGTGACTCGCGGATAATGCAGCTTCTCGTAGGTGAAACTATTTCTTAATGAGGAAGTATTAAAAAAAGGAAAGCACTAAAAAGCACCACCACTAGATGGCGACTCTTGCAAAAGTTGATTTTTGCAGGAAACGAATGGACCAATGATAGTAATTTCCGTAAGTTATAACTAATATATTAAAAAACTGAAATTTGCAATGTTCGAAACTTAGATATCAATACAAATACGAAAAAGTACAAATATGATATGAGTTGTTTATTGAGTTTTGAAAACTAATTTACTTTCATACATGTTGTCATTGAGAAATCAAGAAAGTACCGTAGCGACATCTAGTTTGATTTCAGGAACTATAGTTTTTTTAAATACTTCATCATTATGTCCACTTAATAATATTACTTTAAACATAGAGCGATTAAAGATGGCTTAGGCAGAAACTTCTTTTTAATCCGACAAATAAGCCCTGGAAAACGTTTATTGGAAAACTTAGGATCCACTGTATTCGATATACTGGTAAAACTTGTGAACTGACAATTTCTTACAAATATTAGTTTAACAAAGCATTCCCAAGAAAATCTAGCAAAATCCATTTCGTTTTTGTAAAAATTGACAGTTAGCGGACGAAATTGACTTTATCGATGTGGGTGCGATAAGTTAATTAGCACTAAGAGCAAAAATATTCATAATGTACTCTTTGGCTTTAACAAATCTTTGACAGCAAATCAGACATTTACTTTTTGTCAAACACCAAGTGATATGTGGAATTTCAAGTAATATGTCAATGAATTTATATTCAAATGTCTAGCAAAAAATCCGACTGTGATATAACGGTGGTGGTCGGCACGATAATAGTGTTTGCTCTTCCTCTCACCCTTTTGATTCCAGAATTCTCACTATGGGATGTTGTACCAAAAGTTCAGGTCATCAGGTTCCACGTACTGAGTCAGCATCTCACTTGGCCACAGCTTAATGCTGTACTCGTCGGCTTATTGTCTGTGCTCTTCTGTCTTTACCTTGAGATTAGGAAACGAAAGTAAGAACCTTCATGGGTATTTGTTTTAAATGTGATCTTATCTGATCAGCAATTGAGTTCAGCTTACAATGATCTTGGTTTAGCATTGTTTTCTAGGTCTTTTATCTATATGATTTACACGGTGTTGAGTTGGGTACTAAAAAAAGCCTTAAATTTAACTTGAAAATGAATCTTATTTGTAGTACCTATTAATTCGAAATTATACATTACAAATAATTTTTAAATGCCTATGTGAATCATATTTCAGTATTACGTTCAATTTTTTTTAGATAAAGATTCTTTGATTTTCAGATTAGATGACATGGTAGAAAAGGTTTTGACTGTCAGTAAGGTGACTGATGCCACAATGGAGGTAGAAAGAGATAGACAGACGGCTGCTATGAAAGCATGTGTGGACCTGCTGGATTCCACAGTTGAACACTATGAACACCTTATGCTGTTGAAAGATGACTTGCGAAACTCTGAGCGTACGAATAAGCAGCAACCACCCGCTATAGAACCCAGTGGCTCGGACGTATAACCTCTTTGTTGACAGTGATTTTTCATATGTTTGTTTCGAGTATATTTTGGTAATAAAATATTTCAAACTGCATTGTGTATATTTTTGGTTTTCAAAATCCTGAATGGTATAAAAATTTACTTAAAAAATTATCTATGGATAATAAGTTATAGACTTCATAAATAAATGAGTTTATCAATTAGACTGTTTTTCAATAAACCACAAAAAAGGAGGTTATCAATTTGACTTTTATGTATTATATATGTAATATCGTTGCAATGCCGCATTGTGTGGTCAATGAGGTTCGGTGGCCACAGATTGGTCTTTTATAACTTTGTGACTAAATACTTTATTAGTCAAAAATAAAATATTATTTCTATTTTCTTCAAAAACTAAGTCTTTTTTCTTTTGAATCGAAGAAAGGCGAGCTTATTCGAGCCCGACATCAAAAATTTTTTAATGTTAACCTATAAAATATTTTTTCAATGCAGTTGCTCATGAAGCGCTATTTTTTTAATCCATTGTAAACACCGAAAGTGAGTATTTAAACACGTGTTAAATAAAAATGAACTGAAATCCTTTACTGCACACGCGCTTAAAAGTATTTTTTAATTTTTTTTTGGCTGGGCACCAAAGAAATAAAAAAAAAAAATTGATGAAAATATGTCAAACTTTAGAGGCAAAAGTATTTCAAGGAGCCTAGAACTAATATTTTCAAATAAAAATGTATGACACGAAAACATGTTCAAATATCACGTTTAATTTTAACAAATAATTTTTACCTTTAATACATTTAATACAATATTTGTTTTATTTCCTCGCAAAAAGCATTGAAAAATGTTGTAAGAAACTTGAGCGTAAAAGGTTTTTCGAATTTGTGCCAATGAAAACCCTCGCTACGTTCGTGTTTTCAATTTGGCCCTTATTCGTAAAACCTTACTTTCCGCACTCGTATCTTAAATAACTATTATAGTTTTGAATTTCGGAATTCTTAATTTTAAAACTTTCACACATATTCACGCTTTAATTAACTTTTAACAATATTTAACAAAAAATCACACGCATGGATTTTTTGTACAACTACAACTCATACCCATTCAACGGTATTGTTCTTATGGATTATCGTTGCATGGATAGATTTTTACTAAAAATTAAAGTGCCTTTTGGATATGTGAAAACTTGTATTAGTCGTCAAATCGCTAAAAAAGCTTATTGATTTCAAGCCTTTGATAGCGCGAAATTATAGTAATTTTGCATTTTGTAGTAACCTAATATGGTGCTGTGTGTACACAAGGAAGTCAAAATAAAACTATCACATTTAAGTAAGCTTAAGTAAGAAAATAAAAAAATATATATTCTTTGTTAAACCGACTTGAAATACGTGAAAAGTAATGTAATTATATCTGTGATTCATATGATAATGAGAATACTATTGAAGTCCAATGGCTAATTATTAACAACCTATACAAATTCTGCGCATACGGATAAAAATAGACGATTTACATTTGTTAGCGATATAAAATGTCCAAATATTTTCATTATTTGGCAGAATGAATCCGTTATTTTGTTGTAAAATAAAACTATCTTTGTAGCTACCTAATTTTGATAAAATTCATCTGGTGGTCCTATACGATTACAAGTTTTCTAATAAAATAAAAAATATTTGGAAATCGGTCAACATACTTATCTAAATGGAATAAAGGTTTGGCACTTTGATTTCATTTAGATAATTTTTCTACTGCATACATAATAATTTTCCGAAAAACTATTTAACGTTGTTGTGCTGCCCATATCTTTTTTAAGTAATATTTGCTTTAGGATGAGTAAAGAAACGGGATGAGACATCATAGGATAAAACGGAATAACCCATAAAAAACGTACGTACCCATCGAACATATAACCTCCTCCTTTTCGATTATGAAGTCGGTTAAACTAGCTTTCTGTCAGCATCTTCACCCGCTTGGATAAGATTATTTTCAAACCCCCCATTTCATCTCCTTTTTATTATTTCGATTCATCCAGCAGTTTAAACTAGGCGCCGTTCACCTTTGCTGAAAAAATAAAGCTAAGTATCTAAACAAAATTTTCTAGTTTTCAACTTCAAAAATGATGGATAAACAACACACAAAATACTCTTACAATACACAAAATAACTAAACTTTATGAGTAAAAAATATATTGAATTTTCAACCTCTATTTTACCACCATTGCGGAATAATTTCCTTAATCGCTGATTTAAATTTTTAGTCCTATTTTTTTTGTATCCTAAAAATAATATTTTATGTGTATAATTTCAAATCCAAAACTCTACTGATATCTAGGAGATGAATCAATTAGTCGACCAGTGTATGTTAATAAGTACTTTCACAAGCAGAAATAAATCGTTTTTATAGATATATGAAATATATAACTACTTTCTTCTGCATACTCATTTCCAACAAGATTTGTACTTTTACACTTTGTTATAAAACATTAGTACTATATTCACTCTGGCTGTGTATTAATTTAATCTAAATCCACGCAATTGTTCCAGTATGATTGAGTAATAAATGAGAATAGATAAAGCTGTTTCTTATAAATTTGTTACTTCGCATTCTTTATGAGAATGATATATTCGAGGACAAATGTTTATGATTTAAATAAACATATAGATACCTCTATTATTATTACTTATTACATTACATATTAAATAGATATAGCTAAGAGTAGTTAACTTAAGATAAGTAGCAACCAATTTTAAGTTTTTGTAACGAGCTCGGTGGGATTTAAGTTCATGACTGGAAAATTTAGATTTAAAATCGCTTAATTCTTTAATCAATAACTTTACTTTTTTAAAGATATTTTAATAGGAAAAGTTTTGATCATAGTGATATTGATTTAATTCAAATTAACCAACATTTAACAAGCCTAATTACTTTTGATTAGTTTAATAGCTTAAAATAAAAGTAGACTAAATGCGATCAAAGATTTGTCTAAACATTTCTATAAGTAATTATATTTTTTATAATTATTAATGTTACAAATTTATATTTAGCAATTAGAACTTTAAGCGAAAAGCCATTGTGAATTTTATAAATCGTATCATCTGGGATTCTCTAGTAAATGGATAAGCCAACGCGTTTGGAGCTCCGAGCAGTCGCGTCTCGCGAGTCTGCACGCCTCTATTTCATTAGACGGATCCGGGGTGGATCAGCTCCGCAAAAATAAATAAAACTGTTATTGAGATAAGCATCTGCGCGGCGAGGCTTTCCGCTAAGTCCTGCTGTGTCGCGCTGAGCAATGTACCGAGATATGTCCGGATTACGCCCGCCGCAGCTCTCCGCTCGCTTTTCTTCTGTTTTGCAGCTGAAACCTCTTAACGTAAACGGGGCAAGTTTATTTTTTTTCACTTGTCACAAATGTTTCCTGTTTAATTAGACTCGTATTGTGTTATTCAAATAATTATAGCTATTCTTAAACAGCTGTAAAATAACAATAGGTAATCTGCCTAATATTTAATAAACGAAAATAATTGTCGCTTGTTAAATTAAGCAACAAATATTCAAAAATGTGTCGCTATAGAAAATAATTGCACAATTCTTTTTAATCAGATCCAATTTGTTCGGAGATAATTCCCCGACTCCCCAAGGTATACAACATTGTCTTAAGCTCTAAGCCAGTTTTATCCGCAAGAAAAAAAGAATGTCCTTTTCTCCGTCTAATCGCAGTTTGGAGGGCCCGTGGAGTCCCGAAGACGTTGGTTTATCGGCAAATTGGCCGCCCGCACACCTGCGGCACCTGCACCGGATTAATTTCTCATCACGCCGGCACTGCCGCCTGTAATGAACACGACATCCTAAGAAAAAACTAAGCCGAGCCACAGGAAACTGATGAAAAGAATGTTTACTCTTTTCCGCGTGTAAACTTTTTGTGTGGCAAACGATTAGTAGTTTTAACATAATCATTTAGGTGGTCACAGGGCAATTAAGATCCACATAGCAAATAATTAAAAAAATGAAACAATGAAAATGAAAAAAGAAAGCAATTATAAAAGAGAAAACTACATTACTTCGGCTTATAAAATTATTTATAAAATTTTCTTTTTCAAAATATTTAGTTGCTTTTCAAATAAACGGTATTAAGGTAACTATTATTTTATTGTGATGAAAACTGGTATGTGAAATTGATAATATTATAATTTTCAATATATCTAGAATTGTGATAGTTTCGTGTAGACAAATATATAACTTTTTCTAAATAGATAATTTAACGTTTGATTGTTATTATTCTTTGTTTTCAAATACATTGTTACGAGTATTATTATTTATATTTTGATATAGTTGAATTTATTTTGTTTGATTGTTAATACGTAAAGGTGGACGAAAGAAGACTCTTAGATTAATATATAAAAATATGCCTGAAAAAATAGGAAATTTAAGAACAACGGCGAGATTTTCATGCAATTTTGACACGACGACGTGTATCGGATTAACAATTTAAGATAGGTTATTACTTGTTCTATAATAATTTTGCCTGTATTACGATGGTATTTGGTCTATATTTGAGTGACTGTGTTATTAAATGATATAAAATAATACAGACTTCGTTATTTAAAATACTTTTTTGACCAACTGATTATAACCGCAACGCCACTGACTATCCAATTTCATAAGCGGACATAATCAAACCTTCTGATTTTTAAAATTTTCAATCATACAGATATCCGTCTCTGGTTGATTAATAAACTCAGCGGCAATTTTACGACGCCCTCAAATTTAATCGAACTTGTTATTCACCGAAAAGTAGGTTTTCCTTATGGAAAACGTACTCATTCTTGATTGTATCTGTTTTCAGTTATAAGGAAAACAATTTTGTTTTTTAAATGTGGAGTAAACAAAATTCAGAGTGTGTAAGCTGTGATATTATTGGAAATAGAAGACGATAAAAGAAAAATTAGTGTTTCATACTTATCTGTTTATTTTGGCTCTTTGTTGTGACAACCTCTGTACCTATCACACTGTTGAGCGCAATAAGATACACTGAAACTTTTTTTTCTTTTGACTCTATGCCCTCTCTTAATATTTCCCTCCCT